GTTTAAATTCTTTATTTGCTCCAATCCACATCAATGGATTAATTTTCTCTTCTGGCACAACTTTACCTAAAAAAAAAAGAAAACAATTATTATATTATATATAAACATATTAAATGAATAAATAAAAATTTTTGATAAAAAGCGTACATACAGCGAAGCAGGCGATTACATAGAGAATAATTATCCATTGTTTCAGCTACAATTTGTGCAACTTCTTCACTAGCGAATTCAATGAATGCAAAATGCTTTGATTTTCCAGTCTAAATTATTAAAGAAAAAGAATTCTATCAGTTAACGTTTAATAAAATTGCTTTAAAAAAATATAAATAAATATTATTTTAAACCTTTTTATTTCGATACAATTTCAAACGCGTCACAGTACCAAATTGACTAAAGTATGATTTCATTTCATTTTCATAAAAGCCATGAGGTATCCTACCAAGATAAATAACACCATGTTTCATGTTTTTTTTTTTTCAGCCTTGAAAAAATTGAAAGATATGTGCTTTTTTTTTTTTTTGGTATGAACTGTGAAGGGCAAATTTTCATTAAAAATGAGATTTCATAATCCTGGCCACATCACATGATTTAATTATGCCAAAATTTGCCATTCCGGCCTATCTTTTTTTGTTGAAACGTAATTTAAAATTTGAAATTTTATACTTCTATCAAATGTCTCTTAACAACTATGTAATTAAACTTAATAAACATTTTTTATATTAATTCTACAAGCTTGCATATTGAAATAAAAACGATTTTATCGGGTTTAACTAGTAGTTATCATTAAGTTTTAAAAAACATCGAAAATCATGTAGATTGAAAATACTGTATACTGTAGCTACAGTGCGAGACCTTAAGGCTTCACAAATTTTAAAAACTAATAATATTTAATTAATATAAAAACAATATCACAATAAACAGGTCGCTATTTTGTAGTCTAGCTAATTTGAATTAAAAAGAGCATTGCTATTTCGACCTTGCCGGTTTGGGGAGTTCTGTGGGTGGGGGGGCAGAAGGGCGTCGATAGGGAGAATTTTATTTCCACCCCCCCATTTTTGCTAATGCTATCCCCCGGAAATCAAAAGTGCTTCAAAATGGATATTTTTATTAAGTAAACCCTTTTTTTGATCTTAATAAAAGTTTATCAGGCCTTTCTGGCTCTAATAGTAGTAAAATCATTATATGGGATCTTTGCTATCAAAATGACCCTCCGAGGCTATGTTGATTTTGTGAATAAAAATTAAATTTTCCAGCCAACTAGTTATCCA